TCCACCCGCTGAGTACGAATCCCGCTTGTTTGTGGACGTGATCGACTGCTTTTACTGTTTGCTGAGCTTCCGTGACAGAGTGGAAGCTCTGCAAGTAGTCGTCCATATAATGGTTTCTTTTTATGGCGACCGCAGCTTCTGGGTACGCTTCTGCATGTTCTTCAGCATTTTTATTTTTGATGTATAATGCTGTGCATGGTGATGATGTCGCTCCAAAGATGATTGACGTCATCCTATATTCCTCCGGTTGGTCCTCCCGCCGCTTGCCTCTCCACAAGAAACGTAAAACGTCTCTATCTTCTTTGCGCACTTTAATCTGCATGAACATTTCTTTTATATCGGCGCTCACTGCATACGGATACTGTCGGAACCTCATGATCACTCCGGGCAGTGATTGTAATAAGTCGGGCCCCGAGTGAAGCATATCGTTGAGACATATTCCGGCTGTCTTCGCTGCGGCGTCGTGTACCAATCTCGGCGGTTTGTTCGGTTTCGCAGGGTTGATGACTGGGAAGTGTGGCAGATACCATGTCCTTCCTTGCGGCGGTGGCATTGGCGCGCGCTCTGCGTAACCCGAGTTGAAGAGGTTCTCGATGCGTTCTTCGTACTGTAGCTTGAGATTGCTGTCTCGGTCGAGCCTCTTCTCTAAGGTGTGCAGGCGCCTTTCCGCTTCTTTATAATTATTTGGTATTTGGAAGTCCTTTTGTTTCCACAACAACCCTGTCTCGAATCTGCCGTCCGCTGACCTCTGGCTGGTTTCGTCCAATATTTGCATGGCTCGCTGCTCGGGATCTTCTTTCGGTCTTCTCGGCTCGATGCACAGCGACTCCAATTTGAAATAATTTTTTATTTCTTCTTCTATCGGTGGTGCATCTTCCCTCTGATGTAGTCTGCCGCAGAAGGTGACCGTCGACGTCAATGAGCTATGACAGCCATGCAGAACCCAGCCCAGGTTGGTGTATGAGGCGACTGGTTGGTCTCGACGGCCGACGCGCAGTTTTCTAGACACTATGAGGTGCCAGTTATCTTGCCCGATTAGTACTTTCGGTGAGGCGCGTTCGTAGGTGATATCCTCTTTGATATCCAACAGATGTGGGCAATTCCCCAAGTGATCTTCATTCACGGATTCTGGCGCGAAGTCCAACCGCTCTACAGTACGCGCTGCTTCTATGTTGTGTTCTTCTTGCGCGTACGTTCCTCTTATTTTAAAGCTGACGATCTTGCTCTTCTCGTGTTTCACCTCCGAGCCGACCCCTTGTATCCACATTGTGTGGGCTGGGCCGTCGGCGCCGATGACGTCGGCGATTGAGGCATCGACTAAGGTGACCGTGCTCCCTTCATCCAATAATGCGTATGTTTCGACGCAGCTTAGCGGCCCCCTTATTGTTACGGGCGCAATCTTTAGGTAAGCGCGGCGGTGCTTGTACGGTCGAGTCGCTGTGTTGACCTCCTTTGCCGATGTTGCGGTTTCCATAGCGGGTTCTTTTTCCATTACTGCTGTTCTGTCGTGATGCAACAATTTATGGTGTTTCATCATGCATCCGCCTTTTCCGCACGGTGGAGCTTTGCACAGTAATCGACGATGTTTGCCTCGCAGACAGCGGTAGCAGATATTGTACTTCTTTGCTACTTCCCATCTGTCATTTGTGGACAGAGCGGCGTATGACTTGCAATCGGGCAGTTTGTGTTCTTGTTTGCATTGAGGGCAGCGTTCTTCATATGGTTTCTTGCTTGTGGCGAAGGCACGTTCTATTTTTCTCGGTCTTCGCTCTCTCGTTTCGCTGTCCTCTGCGATGAACTCCGGCAAGGCATACGCGCTGCATTTATCCGCTTCTTCGTTTAAGAACATTGATATCTTCTTAAGCTCTGGGATATCTTCTTTCTTTCTGGCTGCATAGTCGTACCATTTGCTTTTCAATATGGGCGTGAGTTTGTCTGTGATAACTCGCGTCATTTCTGGACTATGCAGATAGTGTGCTTTCTTGAGTGCTTCCACGGTGCCCACTACGTTCGCTATGCGATTTGCGAATATGCATAGCTCCCTGGGATTGTCCGTAACTTTGTTCAGCAGCTTCAGCTTCTCTATTTCCAAGTGAATTAACGCTTCTGGTCGTCCGAATCTCCTTTCCAAAGCTTCTATTATAATTCTGGGATCTGGTTGGCTTATAAGTAGGCAACCTGCGGCTTCTTTTGCTGTCCCTTTTAAGCTTCGGCGTATTCTCGCTATGTTTTCGTTCGCCGTGAAGTACTTTGAAGATTCTTCGTACATTGTCTTGAAGCTGAGCCACTCCTTGCTGCTACCATTGAATGAGGGCAGCTCTTGTATATATTTCGGCGGCTCCCTTGTGCTTCGTACTGCTTGTGATAGAGCAGCGGCTAAGGTAGCGACGTCGATTTGCTGCTGCGCCTGTCCATAGTCTTCTTTCTGCGGCGCGGTATGTTGCGGAGCGTATTGCGGCGCACACTGTTGAAGTACGGGTGGTGCGATCTGCAGTGCTGGTTGCGGCGCGAAGTACGACGTGGGTTGCGGCGCGGGCTGCGGCGCGGGTTGTGGCGCGGGTTGTGGCGCGGGCTGAGGCGCGGGTTGCGATGTAGGTTTTTCTTGCAACCATGTACTAATGCGCACTGATGCCAAATCGTCTTCTATTTCTTCATCTTCATCGGTTGATCCGGCTTCTGCTTGTAGTCGCTGCACGTGTATTTCTTGCAATTCTGTTCTTGCTTGCAACTGAGCCTGCTCGAGCTTGAGTTCGGCTAACCGCTCTTTCGCCTCTAACTCCGCGAGGAGTCTCTTGCGTGAGGCTACGGAGCGGCGTGACCTAGTCTCGCCGGGCTTCAATGTGCACTGCGATCTTTGATCACCCTCTTGCTGGGTTTCTTCCGTTGCGGTTGTTCTATCGGTTGCCGAGGTAGCGGTCGTATCGCTGACCGTTGTGGTTTCGCTAGTGGTGTTTGTTGAACCACTAGCGGCTGAGTCGCCCCCGGAGGCCTCTTCTGTGGCCCCCTGGGTTGTTTGTTCATCCTTGCGACGCTTCGATGATTCTCCGTTGTTACTACGCGTAATCACCATTTTTCTTCACAATAATATTTTTTCGTTCTTGCGGTTTGCTTCTTTCTTCCGGCAATACCAAGACCGATATTGTCTTTTTCTTCTAGTAATCCGGCTCGAAGGACCATTAATATTACGGATCGCCGTAATGCCGTGCGAAAAATGGAATAAAACGCGCTGGTCTTGCTTTTAACTGGAGGCAAGCGGCGGTGAGGAGGAACTTGTACTTTTTCTTTTCTTGCTGGTGCCTTTTCGGTGGCTGGAGAGCGACTGCTGACCCTAGCGGCCGGCCCGTCTTTTATATGATTTGGCCGCTGCTGGCCAGCGGACCCTTGCCTCACCCCCGCGCCTATCTTTATTTATTTAATAACCTTACAAACTAATAAACATAATTCACTATATAATATTCTTATAACTACTTGTTAGACTAGGGTGTACATATCAATATTTTTACTTATTTACAGGTTTACATTATAATTTTCAGCTGCTTTAGGCGGAGAATCCTTCCCCCCGCCTCAGCACTATAAATATAAAACGTCGTGGCGCGGTGCGCGTGGCTTCATTTGCTCCGCGGCCGCGTCACGATAACATGCTCTTTGGTTACACTACTACTATTATTTTATGTGCCTAACGGCCTAATATATTTATTATATAATAAAGTAAACATTTATTATATTTAACAATTACAGTTTTCATTAGAAGACTATGCTAACTCTCCCTGTTCATACGGTGCCTTTATTTGGGAGAGTTATTGCACAGTTACAACTCAACCTTAAACTTAGTTATAATACAATCATTATTTTTTATCGTTCGATACAAGTAATACAATTATTTACACAAATTATAATTTAAATTCAACATAAGGTTGCGCTAGTCCCGCCGTATAACCCTTGCTAGTTGTCGAACCAGAGGCGTGGCCTGATAATTACACCGTCGTCATGGCTCCGCCCACCGCTCCTAGGTTGTTCAACTAGCGCCGGTTACAATAAGCATTTTCTTTCGTTTGTTTAATATTGTTGCGTCGTGCACAGTAGTATTTCGAAAATTTGGACATAAACATTCTATTATGGACGAAGACACCTTCACCAGGTGATGTTTAATTTTCAGCATGAATATTGTTGACGTCACGAAAATTCGTATGATACGCCACAACACGCTTACCAATGACGGTTTAGTGTGATGGTGTTGGCCGGCATGCCCTTCTTCTTTCATTTATTTTCCTTTTAATACTACGGCAATCGAAAGGCTTGTGTTTCATACAAACATGGCAATTTTGCTCACCGAACACGGCAATTGAAAATTTTGCACCGGCAAAACTGTGCGCCACTCACTATTTGTACAAAAATGAAAATAAAAAAGCTTATAAAAGCCACGTTGAACTAACGATAAATGAAATACTTATTCAATCTGTAAATACGTATACGTAGGCGTGCAATCTAAAACCTAGAACTTTAATAAACGTAATAATACTAATAATAAATGAAAATTCAGTTCACAATACTAATATTAAAGAAAGTGTGGTTACCAGTATTCCGTTTCAAAACAAGTAAATACCTAAATAATAAGTCATTTTCGAAAAGTCTTTATCGTTGCAGCTTTTATAATATCGAACTTTGGTATATTTTGTCGTTCAAAGGCGGGTGTTTTCTGCTTGGACGACCTAAAATGTGTTGATTCGGGCGGAGAGAATCGCTCTGATGGTGTTTCATAAATGCATTCATCTTAGTACTCGTAGTTAGAATATGATTGAATACGAGGGGAGAATCTCGTACAATAGTGGCATTGTATCAATAAAAAAAAATTAAACATAAAATTTAAATCTCTTTTTATAAAAGAAAAAGCCTGCTAATATAGACAGCCTATATTCAGTTCAGTTCAGTTCAGTTATCCAGAGCGTGTTGTCGGAGTTCATTTGTCCACAAAATATATATGATGCATACTATCCACCCACCTGAGGAATCCGTCGAAGGTCAGCTGTGATCTCTGTTGATGATACTTATTGTACTCGTAGGTTTTAATGAGGTCCTTAGCGCGCTGGATGTCGGCATACGGATGCAATATCTCGTTAAGTCGTGGGTCCCGTTGCACGTCGTTCAGGAAGTCGACCAACTGGTTGGCCGACAAGTGGGGCTTGTTGTCTGTGCTAAATGGTAAATTGTTATTTATACTATGTTTGTGACAACTTTCAGAATGGGAATTTGCGAATGAAATTTTCTTGAACAATAGGTTCAGTACTTAATTTCAATTTGATAGGGATTTCTTGCAGTTCTACAGACGAACGCGGTGTTCATATTTATAACCTACATTGAAAAATGAGGAGGTTTTGAATTCGACTGTATTTTGTATGTATGATTTGAATATTTATCTTTTATTGAACGTTTAACCAGAAGATGACATTTTAATGTCACAATAAAAACAACAGAAAAATCTTATGGCTTCCGATACATGACAGTATGACTATCTCATTTAATTCAGACAGCAGCAGTGTCAAACCGCGAGAGGTCTGGCACTGCGATCATCAATCCACCTGCCAAACATGACGTCGGAAGAGGCCCATGGCCAGCAGTGGACTTTTACAAGACTATAAGGAAGTAAAAGAAAATATAGACATCACCACCTTGATCTTGTGAATTTTTAGTGCACTCAAAAGAGTGAAATAATAATAAAAACCGACTTAAAAAAAGTAAAAAAGCGTAGGTATAATAATTTGCACCTAATTTTCTGAAGCAACACTAAGACAGTGTTTCGAGGGGCTTCTCCATTAGCTATTAAATTATTATTTTTATTTTTTCTATCTACTTGAAGTTAATTGTTTTCAATTTTGTACAAAACTGTTTCAATGTTCTCTTTTCTCTAATGTTATAATAATTATGATAATCTCTTGTGGTCGATTATCGACCACAGTGTCAACTTCGCAATAATCGAAAAATATCGTTTACTCAGATTTTATAGCGCCGCACTCACTCATCCTAACCTACCTATGCGCGATGTTTCGCTAATATTATTCGAGGAACGGTAAGCAAGGATGCGGATTCGGACACACGAGAACAAACATAACATAACTAAATCCGCAAAACAATAACCGTGACAAAATATTCATATTCATGCTTTTGCATGGGATATGCACTTGCATTCCCACTGGAATTCTATCCCGGGACACAGGACGTAGGTAAGTAGATATATTATGTTAGTGTTAGAGATGAAGGGTAAAAGTTAAAAGGAGATAAAAAAGTGAGTCAAAAACCCTAAGCTCTCACTCATTCGAACAGTATAAAGTACGCCGCAGGCAATACAACTTACTACCCAGAGTGAGATTAACACTTTCACTGCCCGATTTTTAGACACAATAGTAAGACAACAGCAATGAACTATATGTAGTACACTGGACATAGAATGGGTTAAACTGTGAATGCCAAAAGGCTAACAACACTATCATCACAGATTAAAGACTATCTAAAACCAATCATTCGACGAGTCTTTCTTTTAATTGGTATCGTGATTCACTCCGTTAAGATAATTCATTTAGTAGGTACAAGCAAAGTGGGATTTGTTGTAGAGCCTGCCCTTTGTCACATTGTGTAAGACAGTATTGCTGCTGATTAAGTTGCAGAGAGGATGTCCTGTGTCACATCCCGACGAGCAGTGTTGCTGCTGGTTTGTACAATTCATCTATTTTGGTGTATCTATCTTATTGTATTTTTTTTTCTAACTCCTTAGTGTGTTCCATTAATGTTTTATAGCATGAATGATCTCTTTCATAAATAATTTTGAGAATAACTTCTAACAATATTGTACGATACAACATATTAAAATTCATATATTTGTTTGTTCGTATTTTATGCACTGCTATACCATTCATTAGGTTACGCTAAAACTTTGCCAACTTTTTGCTTGCCCTTGTGCGAAGGTTATAGGCATAGTACAATTAACACTAGGTGGCGCGCTTATTGTACCGACAAATTTATTTGAAAGTCATATCCCATTCAATTTATTTTATTGTATTATCATTAATAATTACAGTCATTGCGTTATAGCATGGTGCGGGTGATACGAGTAGCATACAGTTTAGCTTGTCTAGAGATGGATATTGTTAAATCGATTTAAAAAGTCGATTAATGGTACACTAAACTCAGCAAAAATATCGATAAAAAATTATAACCGAAATATATATTTCTTTATAAATAAATTACAATCCATATCAATTTTAGTTACAGTTTAATAAAACTTATAATTAATTTAAAAATAAAAATTATCTTTTATTTTATGTTAATTGCAATTTTTTTCTTAACATAAAAATAAATAAAAGTACTGTTAGCACCTGTGATTTTTAGTAAGGCGTTGACTACACCTGCAGCTTTTTAAGATACAAGTGCTAGCGCCTTTCGCTATAAATGTAAGTGTTGCCAGGTCGGTAAAAATAATCGGGAATTTAGTTTACATATCTAATAAAATAAAAAATACAAACAGATTTTTTGTAGCCATTATGCCAGCCATGAGTTATACTCAAGTCCTTTTGACACAATGCGCAATATGACGATTTCTTATACTTATATCAAAATGCGCAATATGCTTTATAATTATTTTTTGGGACTGAGGTAACGAACGAATAATTTATCGTTGGAAAACCTGCATACTCGTCTATGTGCGTTTTTCTTTTTTTGGCAAATCAGAACTTGTTGAATTGGTCAACGATTAACTATCTATCGTTGCAGACTGAATTTTCTGAACGCCTAATTTTAATGTTATTCTGAATAAAATAATAAAACGTATGAACTCAGAACGTATACATTTAAATGAAACTAATTTTACAGATTTTATCGCGTATATTAACTTATTTTACATTCCCGACGTTTCAAGCACTTTACAGCACCCATGGTCACGGGGGGGACTGAGGTGTATGACGTCCCAATGTCATAGTTAACCACGGCTACCTCCAGATTAAAAATTATTAATTTTTGTTCCGATCTACGCAGTATGAACTTACAGTATCATGAAGTCTTGCAGTTGTATGCTTGGGTTGGGATTTAATTTTATTAATTATGGGATCCCAAGCAGATGGTAGCACCCAGCCATCTTCTCTATTGAAATTAGGATGTTTTTTGATTTCAATAGCCTCGCGAATCATCCTTGGAAGGAATCGGTGTTCTTTAGCGAGGATTTGTGGTCTATCAAATCTAATGTAGTGTTACTAGAAGGCTAGAGGAAAACAACATGCCCGTAGAATATGCAGTATTACTCAGACACTGCCTTACATCTGGCTACCTATTGTGGAAGGAGGAGTTCTACAAGCAAGTAGATGGAGTGGCGATGGGCTCACCTGTATCTCCCATTGTCGCCGATATATTCATGGAGGACTTTGAGGAGAAAGCCCTGCTTACTTCTCCCATAAACCCAAGATTCTACAAGCGGTACGTAGACGACACTTTCACAATTCTACCTTTAGATAAAGTAACTGCATTTTTAGACCATCTTAACTCCTTAAATTCTAAAATTCAGTTCACAATGGAGTTAGAGGCAAACAATTCTTTAGCTTTTCTAGATGTATTAGTAATTCGGAATCCTGATAACACCTTGAGCCACACTGTGTATAGAAAAAAGACCCATACAGATAGATATTTAAACGGTGATTCTCACCACCATCCTTCACAGTTAGCTACCGTGGGTAAATCTTTGTTTCAGAGAGCACGAGGCATCTGTGACAGTAAACACCTGGCCGCCGAGCTCCAACACGTCAAGCAAGTTTTGCACGACAATAAGCTTCGGGTCCCGCGCCTACGTCACAGTGAACGAGTGAAGCCGGCCACAGTCGAGCGAGTGCCTGCTGTACTGCCATATGTCAGAGGTGTCACTGACAAGATTGGCTACATCTTGAAGCGTGCTTCTATTAAAACATATTTCAAGCCGCCGAAGAAGATTAGTCAGTTTTTACCATCAGTCAAGTGTAATATTCCTCTGCAAGATGCAGGAGTGTACAAGCTGGATTGTGAATGTGGTCTCTCTTATATAGGACAAACTAAAAGATCCATAAAAACCCGCGTTAAAGAACACATAGCTGATGTGAAGAATAGACGCTCCGGGAAGTCTGCAGTCTGTGAACATGTACAGGATCGCCCCCGTCACTACATTAGATTTGATAGACCACAAATCCTCGCTAAAGAACACCGATTCCTTCCAAGGATGATTCGCGAGGCTATTGAAATCAAAAAACATCCTAATTTCAATAGAGAAGATGGCTGGGTGCTACCATCTGCTTGGGATCCCATAATTAATAAAATTAAATCCCAACCCAAGCATACAACTGCAAGACTTCATGATACTGTAAGTTCATACTGCGTAGATCGGAACAAAAATTAATAATTTTTAATCTGGAGGTAGCCGTGGTTAACTATGACATTGGGACGTCATACACCTCAGTCCCCCCCGTGACCATGGGTGCTGTAAAGTGCTTGAAACGTCGGGAATGTAAAATAAGTTAATATACGCGATAAAATCCGTAAAATTAGTTTCATTTAAATGTGTAGTGTTCGCGTAAATATAAGAAATCACTATCAGAACGTATACATTTCAAAAAACCATTAAAAACGGCATCATATAATAAAAAAGCACACATTTATTCATAATCGAATTATAACCTCACACAGATAAAATCCTTGCATCGCACGCATATTATTTAATTAATATTTAAAGACAACAATACCTACTTATTACTAGAAATTGACTAGTTGAAGAACTGACCCAAAAGACGTTAGTATTTTACTGAATGTAGTAGGAACAGTACCTATTTTACAGCATGTAAGTTAGGTACTGTGCTAATTACTACTAAAAGAATTAAATAATAAATAATGGTCGAATCGATGACATCGATCCATTGCATGGCTGGGCGGGCGGCATCATTCGGTGAGAGAAAAAACAAAACAGTATGAATGATATCTATATCTCGCCAACACAATACGCGTGAAATTTAAAAGTGATGTTAAATATTCAGTCCGAGTTTGGTGAGAAAATGTGAAATTTCAATGCTAAAATATTTAAATATAGTAACAGTAACAGCTTACAGATGTATTCATTTTGCTGTCATAATTATCGGGACGTAAAAAGATCGGGAAATTTGACGTCGCTACCAAAGAATCGTGTCACCAAACCTCTGAAAATCGGGACACCTGGCAACACTAATGTTTATAATCTATGCTAGCTATGAAGTACTTGCATATCGGCCCTGTTGCAATTTCCAGTTGAGAGAAAGCAATACCCTTTTAGTTACGATTATTGAGTTTATTGTTGTGTTTTGTAAAGTTGATTTTTGCAATTTGTGGAGTTTGTTTATTTAAAATGGCAAAACGAACAAAAACAATGTTAAGGTTAGTCATTCGCCTTCGAGATTACTTTAAGCGAGATCCACAAAATGGCGGAATAAATTTAAAATTATTTAATTATCTTTTCTTAATTTTACAACTTTCTCTATTTATTTGTTTATTGTTGTAAATGAATCGTAAGTTACTTAAATTTAGTATACATGAATATAACTGTATTACACCACACACATAAAATAGAATGTCTTACTCATTTTAGCGATTATATTAGCTTGACGGTTTTTACGTCCGATTATGAGGCGCATCTATAGTAATTAAAAAAATACCGATAGTATGCATAATATGAGCATCGCAAGTGAACTAAATGAAACTTTTATAATTTTACAAGTAAAAAAAACTATATTAGGTGAGATTTTTTAAGTTTTACTATTAATAGTTATAACGGATAATAAAAAAAAATTAAAGCAAATTCAGTGTTATTTTCTCATAGTTAAAAATGTTGTCGTAATCTCACAAACGCACGGAAGTTACGTTCTAGTGATCTGCCATCTGTCACCCGCAACATGCTATAACGCAAAGACTACTCCAAATTTAAAACGATATTAGCACAATTATTTCTTCTGCGGCAGCAAGGCGCCGGATACCAGCTAGTCATAAATAAAAGATCCGATATACGTTCAATTTATATCGAATAGTACAAACACCTAAACACCAATAAAACTGTGTACACAAAAGTATACAATACGAACGACGAGGGAGGAGTGATTGAGGTGCAATACTTGAGGAGCGAGGATATTCGCAATACATAATATACAAAACCCTTTTAAGTTGTAGATAAATATTGACTATGACTGCATAAATTGATTCAGTCAGAAGGCTTTACGATAGAAACTTACATAAACATATTCCGTCTTATTACAAAAATGTAGTTTATAATCATTCTCAGGTTTTACGCGAAATTAAGCGAACTAAAATATATAGTATGCAATTTGACAGCAAATGTAAAATTTTGCGAAGACTGTGGCGCCGCAACTCAGGGACTTTTTTCTTAGAATTAGAAAGACTCTTCTTACTTAACCGTAGTTAAATTCTAAGACTATCAATAAACCACGATTTGTAATAAGACTGATCATGTATGAAACGAAACAAATAAGTATTGCACACTGCATGCTTCTTTTTTCAAGGAAGAACATATGGGATTGTAATTTATATTAAAAAATAATGTAACTTTTGTAATATAAAAATAATAAAGTATAAAAACAAATAAAATATACTATATATGTTCTCTTAATAAGATATTTAAGGCTTGTTCACTGGTATTTCAAAAACAAAAGTTCATATCAAATTTCGTAACATTGGAAGATAATAAAAATATTTAATCTTGCAACGCAATAGTGAAATATTTTCAAAAAGCTGTTGTAAAAAGCCTTTTTCATCCACTTTTATTGGACATGCGAGTCGGTATACACATGCCGTATAACATTACGAGTTTTTCATTTGAACGTCCTTTACATTGGCATGATTTAATATTTGAAGATAAGATAAATTTAAAGAAAAATATTGGAACACAAAACTTATTTTAGAAACAAAAATTGTGTTACATTCAGGAGGACGTTGGAGAACATGGAGAAAATGGCCAAAGGCGACCATGACGATAGCGTCCGGATTCAACCCGAGATTGATGAAAAATATAACCGTAACTAACCACCTGTATGCACCTTTTCGTAGCTAGAGCTGCAAGTATTATTGAAAGAGCATTTGGATCCCTGAAATTCACTTACGAATTTGCTTACTGTCATATAAACAACCATTTGACCGTGTAGTGGCGGTGTAAGAATATCCACTACCCCCATATTGTCCTGTGGGTGTCGTAAGAGGCGTCAGAGCGAAACAAACCAATAAATTGGCAGTAGCGCCTTTCAAGAAAATAAGTATTACAGTGGTTGCTAACCCGCCTGCCGAGCGTGGCAACTATGGCAAATATCCTCCTTGTGCGGCAAACCACGGGGGTTGTCTATGTTCAGCAGTGGACTTTGATAGGCTTTAATGAAAGCATGAATCAATTTATAAAGCCAAACTACGACAGTATCTAAATTACAAATATATGGTTTCTTTAATTTGTGACGGTTGGTATACCGCATTTGGTTCGCGAACGAATGACGTCAGCTGTTCGGGTTAAGATTATAACAAATATTTCGCACATTCTAAAAATTTCTTCGACGAATAAAATTTTGATGGACGCTCTACTGTGAATTATAGTTGCCATTTGCTAAATGTATTTTTACCGTTTAAATGATTACACTTTCGCGTTGTTATTGTCTAGACGCGCTATACAAACACGTCTATTCTGTTGTATTTTTGTAAGCTGACATGAGCTGTGATATTTGTCATCGGTTATTATTATCGGGATATTTATGATAAGGTCATATTTTAGTTTTTACGTTACTTTGTCCCAACACAGTTAAGTGCGTATTACCCATCGGTGTATTTAACAAAGCTTGACAAAGTTGTTATATCTTTTTATTTTACCTTAGACGAAAGAAACATAATAATTAAGTTTGAAGAATAAGAGTGTAGGTATGTACTATTTTGTTTCAATGCATTGACATTGCATGACATTATGATGCAAGCAGCGATACAAATAATAGTGGAAAAATGAGATTTTAATAATTAGTGACTTAAAATCGGGTAACACAGAATTGTATATCAGTCACTCTATTTTAAAGTCAGTTAATATTAATTCTAATAGAAGTATTCATACAGTATGTACTTACAGACTATTAAAGATCTTCTGTACTTCGGTGCGCTGCGTAAGGCTTTTATAGAAGGCGAAAAAATCTTCAAACTGGAACTTGGACTGGCTGATGGTGTCGTTCTTGCCAGTCGGCAGGCCGGACTCGCTGAGTGCTTTCTCCACTCGCTTTTTGTCCTCTTTGTTCTGGGCGAACAGTCGGACTATGCTGTAAGCCAACCGTACATGTCAATCATCACAAATCACAAATTTCATCACAAATGTAGGCTCCTACTAGGTTTATATCTTTATATCCTACTATATTTATCTATGATATATATTTTTATGTGGGTCTTTTAAGGCCTTTTAAGTATAGGACCTTAAGAAAATAAGATGCGACTTACAGAAAGGCCCTGAACATATAATAGCTACCTATATCCGCTCGATAGCTGAATTATCGTCTCATATGTATACCAAATATAACATCTCCAAGGACAGACAGCAACATCAAAGGTACAAACGTCTGGAGCTGCGTTTACCAATCTGGCTGCCAAATGAGGCGTTGAAGGAAATTAATGCTCCCTATTATAGGAGATTTTATTTGTATTTTTATTAAAGAAGTTTGTTATGATCTTATAATCGTGTGAGATGCCATGGCGCAAATTTGTGTACTATTTATTCTTTGTGTTCTTTTTATTTCACATTGCAATGTGTGCAAGTAATATTACTACATTTGATGATTGGCTCTCTTAACCGATTATTTTCTTTTTAAATGAATAAATGACTCCAGCTACTTGTTCTCACAAGTATGTAGAAATACAATATTTGAGTCATTGCATTTGCTCAGTCAAGAGATTTATTGAAAGCTTTTTTGTTTCTACCAAAATGCAGCAGGTATTGTGTTAAAACGATGTACGATGCTTAAAATTTATAGTTATTATTTTTAACAATAAAATAGTAATCATCATATAATTTCATTTACGACTTTTATATGCTAATATAAGTGTGAGATAGGGTTGGTAAATGAGACAACTGTTTTCTATTTTCACTAAGTACATTAAAGAATTGAAGGTGCTGCTTTTATAAATAACAATATTAGAGTTTAAAAACTTTTCACACGTGGTAAACGCTGCAAATATGTTACGGTTGTAGCACGAATGGATTGGCTCGACCGAGAAGAACCACGCTCTCACGTAATACCAGAGTAAAATAGCAGCTTAACGCTGTTGCATTTCGTATGTGGAGGTGGAGTGTAGATAGCCGGAGATTATTTTGACTGGGAACGAGGCATTCCGCCTTAATTCTCTAGCGGAGGTTTAAGGGTGACAACGCATCTGCATTTTGATTTTTAATCAAAGACAGATGATTACGAGCCACAGCATTTACTTAACACCAGGTAGACTGTGTGCTCGTTTATCACTTAAACAACAGGCATTTTATTATAAACTGAGATGATCCTAGTAATAATACTAGATCAAAGTCATGATATTATTGTATTGTAATGGGTTCTTAATACGTCTGCGAAATTTCAGATTACTCAAAATTCCATTATCTTCTACATTAATAACAAACATCGGGGGGCACGGCAGTGCCCCCGCCAAGTCGAGCGCGAAGCAAACACTGCCGTACCATCCTTTACTGGAACCGTTTCGCCCCATTTTCAGGCCTCTATTTGAGAACCTCCGGATAAGACCAGAACGCAGACATTTTCGTCATCCAGTAAGCTATAATCGGGTACTTAAAATCCAAAATTTCAAATCTATAGGTCATTTAGTTCCGAAGTTAAGCGAAAGCAAAGTTTCGCATTTATGACACTCACTCACTCATGATCATCAGAATAGAACTAGTACTTCCCATAAACTCAGAGAGCTGAAATTTGGTACAGAGTTAGGGTTTAATGGCCACATAAAGGGAAAACTATAAAAACTAGGATAATCGAAGATCTGGAGTACCTGGGGACCCTGATTGGGAAACACAAGAGCCCAACCAAACTATTAGAAGAGATGGACATACCGCCTTTACAAAAAATATTCATCTTGGTGGGCCGCTTCATTTGATGTCAAAAATCGAAGTTCTGAAGTATCCTCAGCAGATCTCAGATGTATTAGAGATATGGTAATGCCTCCTTCTACTATTGGTACATAAAAAAAATACGTGTACAGAGAACAATTCCCAATCTGTGTGGCGTATGCCCTAACAATTCATAAGAGCCAAGGTGTAAGTCTAAAAAATGCCCTCATGGACATTGGCACCTCCATATTCTCTTGTGGCCAAGCCTACGTGGCGCTTTCACGAGTAACCAATCTTCATGGGGTGCACCTCATAAATGTTGACTTCAAGAGTATAAAAGCTCAAGCTTCAGCGATCACCGAATACAACCGGCTTAGGCGTAAATACCGCGCCGATCTTTCAGAAATTAAACCATCTAAACCGTCTAAAAGACTAAATAATGAACGCGAATAGGCAATACGAAAAACTGTTGCTACTGTACAAGAATCAGAACCGGAAAAAAAGAAAAGAAAGATTTGTAATAATAAAAAAAAAACTACTAAAAAGAAAAAAAAATGTGTCAAATAATAAAATCTAATAAAATAAATCAATATGCCCACGTTTCTACAAAAAGCAGTGAAATCCCACCAAAAACATTCTGTAAAAAACAGCCAAGTCTCGATGGAGCTGCTTGTTTATCTCTAAAAAGTAATGAAATCTAGACAAAGTCGTGCCAAGTCCAAGGTTCCTTACTGCGATTTCTTTATTATTATAGTTAATGTTATGTGACTTGTCCGTTGAAGGGTACACAAGGGTACAGGGTTAGGGTTTTTGGTGGGATACAGATTAAGCTAATGAAAAGCGTGTAAAAAAAATTGATAGTTCAATTTAAAACTTATAAAAAAGGGACTACAAAAATCGAACACTTCAATTTACGAAAAGTGAGCTCATAAGACTCAGGGTCAACTGGTAAGATAATGGCAGACTTCAATCATCCGAGAGCTCCACAAAGCGAGGATAAACAGAACATTATTTTGCATCAGGATTTAAAGTAATTACTAAAAGCTTTGATGTACTTTTTTGTAAAGGATCTTTACAAATCCACTGAGTAAACACCCCTAATACCTTGTAATGTTGAGCCGCGTTTCATTGTCTGCCTTTAATTAAAGTATCTGGGCGACCGAGCTTTGCTCGGCGTTAGAAAAAAATAATAAGTAATCTCAGGGATGAAACCTATCTGGATAAAATTGGAAAGTAAAACATTATCTAAATAGAACATTTCATCAAAAATCGCTAGAGACGTTTCTGAGAAACCAATCACATTTATATATATATATTACCTAGGTAGTATATTACCTAGGTAGTATATTCCCTACTATACCTAGTTCCCTTGTTGTTCAACATATTTTTCAATGATGTTTAAAGTTGCTTTTTTCTTCGAATGTTTTGCTATATGCTAATGATACCAACATTTTTGTCATTGTAAAATCTAATCAATATTGTCTTAATGAATAGAATATTCTTTGCGTAGTAAATTATTTTAAATATAAATAAATATTGCATTACCTCATGTTCTAGAGAGAAAAAAACTGATATCCCTCTGCCTATAACTACAGTATGAGTTATATATTACTGAAGAAGGTAACTGAGGTGAGAGCTCTGAGTGTCTATCTTGATTGTCAGTTACTACTTAGTTCACATATTGACATAATTACAGCGAAGCCCTTTAAAATTGTTTCAACAAATTTGACTTAAAAAAATCTACTTTTGTAACTCTATTATATAATTTACTCGTTAGGTCGCGTCTTCGATATTTTGAATTTATAAAAACGCCCTGCATCCATATCCAAAATAAGTGCCATAAACGTTTAAAATATATACGTTTAAAACAATTCTACCAAATTTAGTAGATAATCCTGAAACCAGACGTGAACACCGCGATGTCATCTTTTTGTATAAAATCCATCAATATAAAATCAATCAAAATAGTTATATTGACTCGCCATTCTTATTGATTAAAATCACGTTAAAGTGTCTTAGGATTAATCTACGACATAACTTAAAATCTACCTTTTACATTCACGCTTGGAAGACTAACAATGCGAGTAATCGATTTTTTATTAGAGACTGTAATTTCTATAACCAATGTTATAATATTTTGGATATATTTAATTTGAACATTTTTAAATCTATATAATATCTGACATCAAGCAACTTACATAACTAAGTTTTATCATTCTCTTTAGTTGTTAGAATGTTTTAACATTACCTTTAAAATATGTCAAATAAATAAAATTGTGTTTGAAATACTGATATTTCTGCCCAATGATCAAGTATGTTACCACTACTACGAAATTTTAACTTTCTTTTGTAATAACTCTATTTAAAAATTAATTATGTAGCTATAGTAGCTGTACTTTTTCCTAAAAAAAATGAAAAAAAAAATTTACAGGTCTTTGTTTCTAAATCCAAATCGAATAAAAGAGTAGTTGAATGTGAGACAGAATTCGCGACAACACTCAATGGTACGCTTAACACAAAGAGATTATAATGAGTATCACGAATACATTTTTAAAACATCAATTTGTACGTGACTGACTTTATACTTATAATTAAAATTATTTCATTTTAATTTCAAGACATGTTATAAATTATATCTACGCTAAATTATAATCATCATCCTTACAGCCTTTCACAAGTCCACAGCTAAATAAATACCACCCGCAAGAAACGCCACAAAACACGGTCCTAAACCATCTGCATCCATCGTAACCATTGAGTTGTACGTAACGATTGATATACAATTGTCAATAAATATTTCTAATTTCTGCAATACCGAAACTATTCATCGTTTCAGTTGCGGTTTACTGGTTTTGAAACTATTTATTCCAATATCTATGTAATCAATACTCAGTTCAGTTCAAACCAAACCTCATACGGTTTCACTTTGGGTACTTAAATTATTTTAATCTAGTTTTCTTTTTCAATTATCTTCATTGCCCTATTTATAAACCTATCTGTAGAATTCACGTAATGAGAGTTTATTAATCATAAGATTACGTTTTAAGCGTATGGTGGGTGGTTGGTACGCTCAGTAGTTTTTGACAATAATAAAATTGGGAACAAACTTAATTTTGCCGTCGAAAAAAATGTTCTCCGATACATCGATCTACATAACGGTCGATGCTTAAAATTTTAAAATGGGATTTTTTTAAAGTTTATTTTAACTACAAATTAACT